TTTATGATGCCACAGCCCATAAATGTTTGCCTTGACAATTGGAACTGTCAACCGGGTGCGAGCCAAAACGAACTGTGACGAATCACGCTCCAGCGGCGCAGGTGGGGCAGGTGTCGGTGCTGGCCATGCCCATCAATGCCGCCTCTCGTCAATATTTCATAATTCGCAGCAGCACATTTATTGACTTGCTTGCGCATTTTGGAGGCTGTTGCACACGCACACACGCATACGCACACACCTTCAATGGAGGTACACAAAACTTGCCACTGACCCACACAACAGGCGCAGCAACAACAGCAACAACAGCAACAAATTGCGACAACTGCTGGGACTGCGACCAAGACTGAGGCAATGCCAACGCCAACGTCAACGGCAACGGCAACGGTAATAATAAAACTTAAAAAAAAAGACAAAAAAAACACACAACCCACAGACTAGCGGCACATTTTTGTCAACGATTGAGTCGATTGAGCAAGCGGCGCTTACGTCGCTGCCAGCTGCAACGCCCCCTCCCCCCCGCCATCTCCAGCGGCAGCAACACATTGCCCCATTGCCAGTCATTGTTCATGACATTCAAAACAAACTTCAAGTGGCCACAGCCGCAGCGCACGAGTACATTGCCTTTGAATTGGCATTAGGCGACGACGACGGCGACGACGACGACGGCGACGATCACGGTCATGGGACTCTGTGGCAGCCGCTGTGGAAGGCCGTTGGTACATGTGCGAAATGTTGCCTGGTTTAGAAGTCAATGAATTCTTATAAATTTAAGTCAATTGTTCAGTGAACATGCTTCTATAATAAAAAACGAGCAAGAAGTGCTATCTGTGGCACGCCGACGATTTAATGCCCTTGCAGACATTTCCCTTTCGCAGATATGTGCAGCTCGAAAATGTTGAGTTTGTTGAAATATCTTTGAAACAGAATATTTTGGCTTAGAAAATCCTACTATTCCGCCGATCTTTCGTATAGAGCAGCTATATTATAAAGTGGTCCGATGTTGATAGGATAGGGGGCATGGTAAAACCTTTAATCCAGACGGTTCCGTTTTGCAAAGCTTCAGGACGAAGCTTTCACTCTGAGAAACAAGTTCGCATAGCAACAGACAGACTCGGCTGTTGATACTTTATGGGTCGGAAATGACGCCTGCTATGCGTTACATATTTCGAGACAAACTTATAATACCCTCTGCAAGGGTATAAAAAGAGCGCTCTGATCGGTAGTGCTAGATTTGCAGACATCCTGGACCTAGTTGAAAATAACTGCTGTCTCTTACTTCAGATTGTTATCAAATCTTTAGATTAAATATAAAATATAAATATCTGTATATACAAAAAGAAACAAGGGTATACCTATGCTTGTTTTAAGTTTGTTGAATGGAAAAGGGCAACTTAACTAAAGTATCCAGACGCAACTTGGTTAAGCTTGAGGATACTTTTAACGAGAAATAAGGGCTATCTTCGGCACGCCGAAGATCTAATACCCTTGCAGACTCAACCTTTTCATAATGCTTTGCCCGTATCTAAGAAGCACAGGGAAAATAGTTAATGCCGAGTTTGGGCAAGATTTCTTGATAAACAAAATGTTTTTTCATACAAAAACTTAATTTTCGACCGATCGTTCCTATGGCAGCTATATGATATAGTGGTCCGATCCAGCTGGTTTTCACATATGTGCTGCGTGCAACAGAAAGAGGGACTTCTGCAAAATTTCATTAAGATAGCTCTAAAACTGAGAGACTAGTTCGCATAGAAAAAGACAGACGGACATGGCTGCTTTAATCAATAACTTATCGACAATTGCAGATAAACTTAATCAGCGACTAATTCTGATGAACACAAACAGCGTAAAATGTTTCAGAAGCGTTCTCTTCGGGTTTTATGGCCGCAAAGAGACCCAGTATTTTGACTATGCTGTTTTTGCTGATGCGGAATATATTCACATATTTTTCATACCTATGCACAACGAAATTATATATGTTTGTTTTTAACAATTTTCAATGACCTTAAAATGATTTTTATGTCGAACTCGAGGCAGCTCCAATAAATGCGAATAAAATCAAAACATTTGCGGCCCGATTCGCTTGCACGTTTGCCAAAATCATTAGCGCAGTCGACTGTGAATCGAATTGGCATATTGAAAGTGGGAGAGATAGTTGGGCATGTCTAGTATTTGGTATTGTAATCCACGCTGGCAAATTCTAATCAGATATTTATGATAGATTTAATATTTACAGATATGTGTAGATCAAGGTATATTAAATATTTATTATTTAAAAGTGTTTAGATAGAAGAACCTGTCTACATAATGCCTTTAAAGTGTACATATATTTGGCAACTACTCCTCGATTGGTTTGCATAAACCATAATAAAAAATAAGAGTCGGGAGTACCCGACTAGGGGATACCCAACACCAAATGCAGCTCGCTTTACGCGCTCCTTTGCCTTAGCATTTGCCTTGTATTATTCAATCCCTTAGATTATTCAATCCATTCAAATTGATGTTGATTAAGAATATATATACTTGCTTGGGTCGGAGTTGCTTCCTTCTGCCTGTTACATACACGTGCACCAAACCATTATGCCCTTTGAATGGGTTCAGGGTATAACAAAATTAAAAGATATTCAAAATCTGGAAAGTTTTCGATAAAACTAAAGTACTGTAAGAGTTTGTATCTTGCAGCTGTCAAGCTCCGAAATAACTTATATATATTCATTTAAATTGAAAATTATGTAAATATATAACGAGCAGCTGTCTGATATGATTATTAAACAATTATCACTCTTTCAGCAAATATAGCACAGCTCAAATCATTGATTCAATTATCGATTTAGATGATTCTCATTCAGGTTTCGCTCCTCGTCTCATGAATCAAGGCGCAGGCTTAAGTGTAGGCTCGCAGCATTGCATTTCTTTGTTATGCCAAGAGCTCTTAATTGAACCATCTTTGAAGTATCTACATCATAAGCCGCAACACGTCACAAATGTGGCCGCAAAGTCGCTCGCTTTGAGCTCGGACAAGGGCGATTAATGACCGCACGGCTGCTTTTGCTTTGCTCTGGAAATGGAATTCCAAATGCCACCCGCTGCTTAAATTGGCTAAGGTCACAGCTTCCGCTGGCGGGGCACAACGTGCAGTCTTTGTCTATTCATTGGCATTTTAATGAGTGGCCCGACTAAGTAAAAAAAAGAAAACAAAAAACAAAATGTACAAATAATTATATAAAATGCTCACATTATGCAATTTCTTCAAGTCAATTCCGCATCGATACTTGTACTTTAGGCACGGAGTAAATGCAACTGCAACAACAACAACAACAACAAAGTACACATTTACCTTTCACACCCATAAATATTATTTTAGTTGAATTAAGTGGTTGATCGCTCAATTGCATAAATTACGTTAGATTGTCTCTGTGTGTGTGTGTTTTTTGTTTTTGTTTTATAATTTTTATTCTCTATTGCAATTAACTTGTCGCGGCGGGGAATTACTTAGCCTCAACATATTGATTTGTCATTGCAATTTTGCTTCCTTTAAAATTTCATGCCATTCATTAATTGCCTTAGTTTTATTTTTCAACTAAATTTGTTTTTGTTTTTTGTTTTCTATGGCCCGCTGTCAATTTTCCGGTAAAAAAAAGCATTAAGCGACAGAATCTCGGGAGAAATTTCACATTGAGCTACAAAAAAAAATCATGTTTTCATTTAAGTAACAAAAAGTATGCTCAAATATTTTCTATGTTTATTTAAAACATATTTCAAGTCAAATCATTTTAGATTATTTTTAGACCAGTTGTCTTTTGAAATTGAAGAAAGTGCATAAAAAAGAGCTTAAAATAATAAATATTAAAAGAAAATGCACCAAGTCTTGATCAAATTGGAGTCTGTAGACGTTAACAGCGCAATAAATTACTCATATGTCATAGCATTATGCCAGATTGGAATAAAAAACGAGAAAGTAAGGATATCTTCGATACGCCGAAGAGTTAATACCCTATGTAAGAATTGTGAAGCTCGCAAATGCAGAGTTCGCTGCAAATATCTTGTTAAATAGAATATAATGCCATACAAGAACTTACTTTTCGGTCGATCTATCATATGACAGCTATTTGATAAAATGGTGCGATCTTGATAAGATGTTGCAGATATATGAAACATAATGCAACAACTCGTCTGTTGATGCTGATCTAGAATATATATACTTTATGGATTCGGAGATGTCTGCTTCTATGCGTTACACATTTCATGACTAAAGTATAATACCCTCTGCCAGAGTATAATAATGCAAATTGCTCTAGACTTTGTTTTAATAGATGTTTAAAATACACGTTGCTTTATGGTCTACTAAATTCCCGTTCACTTTGTAGGCTATGCCTCAACACTATTACTTTTATTATTCTAAATAAAGTACTCTGAAAAAATACACATTTACAGACTTAAAATGTTGTCTAACGTTGTCAGAAGTTGCCTAAGGTCGGCTAAGCTTAAAATAATAAAAACGAGTTTGTTTTTATTAAACCCGGAATTCTTAATTTAAGCCCATTTTGAGCGTAATCAGCTTAATTTGAGCTTAATATGGCTTAGCCTTAAGGCAAAAATGGTATTGGCTTAAGACAGGAAGGTGTTGATTTAAGCGCAAAACAAGTCTGTTTTCAAGTCCAAAACAAACTGCACTTATCTAAATTACAGTTCGTTCGATTTAATCACAATTTAGGAAGAGGGGGATAAGCATGAGCTTGCTTTAGGTAAACTCGTGAATTAAGCTTTAGCTTTCGGCTAAGACATGCATACACCTGGCTGGGAATCACCTGCACAGACGACTGGTTTACTTAGGCACATTGCCCGGGAGAAGTTCTTAAACTGAATCTAAATTCAAAGTCAATTTGTGCATTAAGCACTTGAAGTTGCAGTTGTATCTTTGAAATTGATTTGACGGAATAAAACTCAGTAGTAAATGTCATAAATGTCGATATGGGATTCCATTCATTTTTTCATTAACACAATAGAAACTAAATATTTTTTATGTTTAACAAATTTAACAATGTTTTAAATTAAATTGCAGCTTTTAATTTTGGAAGTCAAACAGCAACTGAAATAACAAACAAAGGAAAACGGGCATTTCTGCAACAACAACAACAACAACACCTGCAACTCCAGCAACAACAGCAACACCTGCAACAACATGGATGTACTCGTGCATGATGCGTTACATTGGTACGGAGACCTAATGGACAATAAAAGCGGTCAGTATTTAGAATCTTTTGAAGAGTTTCAAATTGACTAAACTCAATTTTTTATTGATTTTCGTGATAGATCCGCGTGTCAAGAACTTCTTTCTGCTCTCGTCGCCGCTGCCCACACTTGGCTTGTGCATATTTTATGCCTACTTTAGCAAATCCCTTGGCCCCCGGCTGATGGCCAATCGCAAGCCCATGGATCTCCGCAAGGTGCTGGTGTACTATAATGCAATACAGACCATATTCAGCGCATGGATTTTTTATGAGGTAACTGATCTGATATTATATTCAATTAACTGAATGCATTTAAAAACTGTTTATCTTTTATTCATCAGTACTTAATGAGCGGCTGGTGGGGTTATTATAGCTTCAAGTGTCAGCCCGTCGACTACAGCAACAGTCCCATGGCCATGCGGGTAGGTTACTGGCGCAGTTCCATAAATCCAATCGTTTTTAAAATAACTCTTGCTCTGTAGATGGTCAATATCTGCTGGTGGTACTACATCTCAAAGTTTACGGAATTCTTTGACACGCTCTTCTTTATATTGCGCAAGAAGAACGAGCACGTTTCAACGCTGCATGTCATACACCATGGCTGCATGCCGTTCTCGGTGTGGATGGGCCTTAAGTTTGCACCGGGTACGTGGCCTTCGCCCCAAATCAACTGTCACATATGTGTTTAATAATAAATATTCATTTGGTTATTTATCGCAGGTGGCCACAGCACTTTCTTTGCCCTGCTAAACTCGTTTGTGCATATTGTGATGTATTTCTATTATATGATTGCTGCCATGGGTCCAAAGTATCAGAAGTTTATCTGGTGGAAGAAATACCTGACCACCTTTCAAATGGTATGGACCCACAATTTACACAGCCAAGCAACCTGACTAACTGAATACTTCGTTGTTGCAGGTACAATTTGTGGCCATATTTACGCATCAGTTCCAGCTGCTGTTCCGCGACTGCGATTACCCCAAGGGCTTTATGGTCTGGATTGGTCTGCATGGCGTGATGTTCCTATTTCTGTTCTCTGACTTCTACAAAGCCAAATACCTAAATGCGCAGCGTCGTCGCCGTGAGGCCATCAAGGCCAATGGCCACCAATCCAACGGCGTTCACACGAACGGCAAAGTCAAGCATTTGGGCAGTGGCGATCCCCAGCTAACCAATGGCGGCCACAAGGGCGCCTGTATGGTAAGTTTCAACTGATATCAATTTGCAGGCGCAAAAACAAAAACAAGAAACATCAATAAACGAGTGGCGTAGGTAAGCAACATTAAATCAAGTAGCCCTTGAAAGTTATTAGCCGTGGCTAAGCACACAAATCGACGACGCCCGCTCCAAGTGCAGGCCCCCATTGGAGCCAGGTGAGAGGAGTGCCAGTCTATGCATACTAGAGTTGGAAGCGTGTCGTCTTTTTTTTTTTTTTGTTGTGTGTCATGATCACGCACGACGTGTTCGTATACAATTATCAAGACGAAAACAATTTCGAAACATTCCAAATGTTTAAAGCACTAGCAAGTCCTTAGTTAAATAATCAATTCAATAATCTAAATCAATTGCAAGAAAAAAACTTCATATTTAAGCTCAATTTATTAGAATACGAAGGCTAATAACAGCTGCTTTTATTGATTATTCAATGTATTATATTATATCCTGCCCTTTGATGAGATTAAATTAACTTGCGTGTTTCTTAATTGCAATTCGCGTTTTCAAAATCCGTTCTATTCCATCTCTAATGCTTACAGATACGTACATGTGCGTAGTTGTTGTTGTATTTTGATCAACTTAAAAATTCTAACTAGCTTAGTTAAGCAAACAACACTCGCACACACACACAGACACGCACACACACGAGCGCAGCACTCGCAAACTCTCAACACTGCGCGGGGACATTTCAATTAGCGTAATCATGTGAAGCCGGATGCGAAGGCCCAATCATATTGGCTGCTGGCCATTTGGAAGGCTATGTGCCGTGCTTTGAACTTTAGCTGGGGGCCAGTTCCAGGGGTGTTGAGGCAGGAGAGAGCGGCAGAAACGTGCTCGTCAAAAACGAATCTTACAGAATACTAATCGCATGTTTATCTTCTACATACACTTGCAGCCCGTTTTGGAGGATGAATATGTGAATAGCAATGGGCATGTGAATGCCTATCAGGATGGTTACTTCAAGGAGGGCGTTCTGTCTAGCAATGATGCCATCCTGAATCCGGACAGCAGTAGCTCTAGTCTTCATCAGCGCAAAGTCAAATAACTACTACTAAGACGTACTACGATGATATTCATTATGTTTACTTTAAGTGTTTAGCAAGTAACTGAATTGATAGAGCAGATCGAAACAGGCTAACGGCAGAATAATAATGCATCCATGCAATTATGACCATTGGCAAAAAAAAAAAAAGAAGGAAGCAACAAAAATCAACAAACATCTAAAAAGCAAAATATTAAACCATTATTTGATTTTAGTAATTTATGATAAATACGATTGTAAAAGCAAGCCAGATGTTAGTGTATAATGTGAAGCCACATGCCTCCATATATATATATATGTATGTATATATGGGCAGACCAAGAACCAGAACCAGAACCAGGGAAACTCATTTCCCTCCACCAATAAGACCATCAGCACCACTGTAGCCGAAGCCGTCAGATAGATTAAGGAGAGGATAGCAGAAGAGAAACTGTTATAAGAAAAAAATGTTTATATATATATCTTATATATTGTCGATTGTATTATTCCCCTAAATAATATTCTTACGCCCACATAAATGAACATATTTTTTGTAAAAATATTTGTAGGCTAAATTTGTATTTCTCAATTTGAGGCGTATTCTAAACTGGCAACATATGTATCACATTTATATAATAGGGCAAATTGACAAATCCCCACTTACTACAACAACAACAACAACAAAATGCATATATATAAATATATTTACTTATGTAACGATACACTCACACACACACACAAACACACAAATATATAACTAGGCATTATCATTAATATGAGAATTTTGAATAACAAACTAAGACGTCAACCTAACGATAAAAGATAACAAAACATGCTCTTAAGCCTGCTTTAAACTTAAACGTTAAACTAATTCTAGCTTGTTTTTTGTATATTGAAAGAGAGAAAGGCCGAGAGAGAGTGCGAGAGAGAGAGAGAGAGAAAATGTTTGTTGCAATATTTTGTAAATGGTCTAATTGTTAAAACTTATATATAGTGCGACGTTGTAGTTAGCTAGCCAATTGCAAACAAAAACAAAAACCAAACAAATTTAGCACAAAATGCTAATGCTGCGAAAACAACAACAACAACAACAACAAAACATTATGGAGGAATAGCTTTAGACTTTAAGTGTAAAACAGCTGAAGGAGCAGACAATCGGTTCGACGTTGAGCCCCCCATTTAAAAATTAGATGCAAAAGAAATTTTAGAGAAACTCCCCATAACTAAAAGATTTATATGTATTACCATTTTGTTTCACATTTCATTTTTAAATATTTCAATTCTCGGTGTGGCTTTTGTGCGTAGTTTTTTTTTTTATATTTGTTACTCTTTATATTTGGTTTGTAAATGTTAAAATAGTTTTTTATTTGGCGCTTAGCGAAATGAAGAAGATTTAAGAGTTATTTGTACTACAGTCTGTTAATCTGTGCATTGGTTTCTTTGTTAAGTTGTGGTTTAAGCTGACAAGTTCAAAAACTATGGAAAACATGAGAAAAAAGCTAATTAATTTATATTAAAGAAATATGAAAACAACAATGTGTTTTTAATTAATTGATATGCATCAAAAATGTTCGTCTAGGCTTGATGCCAAAAAGGTTGCTAAGTTCTTGGGAAATGTGCCTTGCAGACTTGGCTTAAACCTTGATAATTTTGGCTTTGCGGTTTGGTCTTCTAGATTAGGTAAATCTTGACATGAAAACATCTCCCACTTCGTAGCAAATGATTTCTTAAATGATCAATAGAAAACATTTTTTGAATTTCCCATGTATATGCCAATTCATAAAATATAAAATTTTATTACTTAGCGTAAACTTAGCTGATTTTCTTGTATAACTTGTCTGTCTTTAGATCTTAAATAATTTGCAGTGACAATCTGTCATTAAAATCGATATTTCTTTAAAAGATCTTTATTTATTGCACAATTATGTCGTCAGCCCGAAAATAGTCTTAAGGAAGCCCACAATTCCTTTTATCAAATCCAATTGGATTGATACCGGATCTTCAGTATAATATTCGTAGAGCACGGGAAAATAATTGTTTAATGCTTGTTTTCTAGTGCATAATTTTAGGCACTCTTGTTAATTAGTTCAAAAGAAAGCATTAATTGATCAAGCTTCATTTGAGAGGGCTTAACTCATTTAAAGTGTAGAAGCAAGCAACAAAATTAAATTTCGTACAAAAAAGTTAAAACGTAATTGAAAAATATTTCTAAGTTTACAGCCTCTTAAAATGTATATAAATTCTAAGCAGAAAGCGTTTTAGTGTAAACAATAGTTGAACCCAAATGTCAAGTTCTCAAAGTGCCAAGTCTTAAGGGCTATTGCACAATTCTGAATATGATTTTCCCCTCCAACTACTTCGTGGGGGTATCAAGTGCACTTGGGTCTAACCTGCGGGTAAAGTTGACTTGCAGTCAATAGACAAAAACACACAAATCGTTTAACACGCCAATATTGAGTCAATAAATATCGGAAATGGGCTGACGTTTTCACAGCTCTTGTCCCTACCGGTGGCTGCATGGGAATTCCCTTACACCGCACCCCCGCCACCCGTCCCACCTACTACACACACTGACCTAATGGCAAATGGCAACAACAACTTTGTACATTGCACCAAAGTGCAGTCGGGCAACTGAAAGCCAACTAATGAACAACGAAGGTTGCTTGCCGCGCTTGGCTGGCCAAAAGTAAAGGAGTTGCAATTAAGTAAAAGTTAATAACAATAATTTGTTGGCTTAACATAAAAATTAGCGATTACTTCATAAACTAATTATTGGCAAACATAAGTGCAATTTATGTTGGCAGCTGGCCGCGTGCCTGGCAAATATTTGCCACCCACTTGACCTTGACGAAGTCGCCCGTCAGCCGTCGGCCACTGTGTTTGCCCAGTTAACACTTAGTCAATTCAGTTGCGGGGGAGCGCGCGGGTGGGTGGGTGGATGGTTAGTTGCTACTAATGCTGGCAGCATTGTGCATTCGCTGAGTGTCACTCGAAGTCAATTAGATAATCGCTGGCTGACCTGCTGGTCAACTTCGTTGCAAGTTCGTTGGTCTGTTCAAGCACTTGGCAAATGTTACGACGTGCGCCACCTGTTGCTGTTTACTTGAACTTCAATCTGTTCGAGAACAGGAGCGCACACTAGGGCCAAAGCAATTAGTGTATTTGCTTTGTGCTTGCATTAAGCGCGGAGCGGGGGGGTTTGGCATGTTGCGGGGGTTAACTAGCAGCTGCTCCACGGAAAGTTTTTTGCGTTGCACTTGTATCGTAAGTTTCCACTGTCAGAAGCTTTTTTTTAAGTTTTGCGGCCCAAGTTCTGCGCCTGCTCGCCAGTTGTGCAGCTTTGGCAGCGCTGCCGGCGCCAGCGTCGCAGCCACAGTTGCTGCGCAGTTGCGTCGTCGTCGCATTGCGCGTTTAACAGCCGCACCGCTCAATTTTCGCTCAGTTTCATTCAGAAGTTAAGCTTAAGCGTGTCTCGCCCGCTCGGTCAATAGACTCGCTCTGCTCATTAGCCAATTGCGAAAGAATTTGGATTTTTACAAAGTTCTTGTGAAATATTTACGTATGTTTCGGCACATTCGGCCATACATATGAGCATATAGTTATTTCAGTCTTGTCCGTGCGTTATTTGTGTTGTGGTTTTTGCGGTTTTTCAGTTCCAGTTTCAATTGATTGCAAGCAGGAGCAGCGCCCCCAGCACCAACACCAACACCAGCAGCGGCAGCACCAGCAGCAGCAGCGGCAGCAGCGGCAGCAGCAACAAGCGCCATAGCCAACACAAATTGTTGGTAAGTTTCTTCACATACGCTTTGTGCTATTACTTCTTTTGCAACTGTTATTGTTGATTTGTTGAACAGGCTGGCAACACTGTGCCGAATAACGCATTGCCCAATATGATAAAGCAATCACATACATACTTCTACTAGAAAAAAATATTAAAAATAATCAAAATGCGGTTTGAATGATTTCACACTTTTGGGCCAGCACATAATAATTAATTACATTAGATTCAGGTTTTTGGTTATATGCAGATTCTTATTATTTATCACCTGTTTTGGCCAGCAACCTGCCGCCAACTGTTAACTCAAGCGCATATGAATAATGTTAAAAGAATGCAATATTTAGCATATTTGCTGTCAAATTTAGCATAGATGACATTTTTGTGTCTTCTTTTGAACTAAATTTGCACTGCATTTCTCTTATGTCCCGCCGTCAGCTGATTTCTGTTTACATTTCACAATTGACCAGGGCTGCAATTTGGCTGTGCTTGATTGTGTTTGCATACTTATTGTTCTTTATCTTTCGCCTCTTTTTCTTCTCTTAAAAGGCATCATTGCATTACTTAATGGAAAGAGTGCAAGTCAGCAGACTCTATGCTGCTCTTAGTTTTAACATGCTTTGTCTGTGAAGCTGTAATGTAGTTAGTTATTACATTGTATTAACCCTAATAAGCACACATTTTTATTCTCTTGTGACTTTAATTGTTTTTAGTATAGAAAATATTTACAATACCCTGCATTATGATCATTGCAAGATATGTTTTATTTTCAAAACCAATTCGATAACATTGCCGATCTAAAAACTTAATTTATATGAGAAGTTTTTACAAATTTTATGATATTTGAAATTATTGGTATATTAAAATTTCAACAAAACATAAATCACAATTTGTATTTTCGCCTAAGAATGCTATCAGGCAATAACAGCATTAACATTTACGACTTTCAGCAAAAAATATATTAAGTTGACGGCATTAATGGGTTAAACGATATTAAGAGCTCTTGTAATTATTAACAGAGTCGCGATAACAGATTGCTTACATTGCTGCAACGAGCTGCAACCAGCAAAGCAAAACAGCTTTTGCAAATTGCAGAAGAGACAAAAGCGGCAACAAATTAAGCTGGGCTCCATGCACAACCTTGGACTTGACTCTTGCCACTGATGGGCAACTGATTACCTGGTCGGCTTACCTGCCTGCCTGCCAGCGCGATGTCACATTATGTCTTTTGTTGTTGAGCGGCCTGTGG